TAAAGTAAAATAAAGTAGTAGTTTATATTACACTTTTTATACATTCTATACATTTTTATATTTTATTTTTATATTGTATATATAAATACAAAAACACAATTTTTACTAATACATATTAAATAAAATTACATGCACTGTAACATTTTGTTTTTAGTAAAAAAGTTATTTTTTAAATATTTAAAAAAAAAAAGTTTTTAAAATAACATTATAATACCACCAAAATGTCACTGGTCTGTACCAATACCAGTAAAATTTAATGGTTCTTGGTACCAATTTCTATAAATATATAAAATTTAAATTTATATTTAATTAATGATACACACACAGATACATATATAACATATACATATACATATACATATATATATATATATATATATATATCAGAAATATACACTCAAACACACTGTAAAAAATCAAAAAACGTTGAGAAAACGTAAAAATTAAAAGGCAACCAGCTTCAGCAGATTTTTGAGTTCTCAACTTTTTGTTATATAAACTGAAAACACGTTGAGAAAACTCAAAAACCTCCTGAAGCTGGTTGCCTTTAACTTTTAAGTTCTCAACTTTTGATTTTTTACAGTGCATACGTAACAATTATTATTATCATTACCATTATAGTTTCATTTTAAATGTGATGTTTGCCGTTGTCTGTGACGCATCAGTACAAATCACACTAAAAAATGCAATGTGCTGCACCTCCAAATGTGATTTCAGTGATCAGATCAAAAAGCGATTTAGACCTGCTTACAGCCTTAGTTATCTCTGCCCACTTCAGAGATGATCCGAGGCAAAAAGCAGCATAAACCGGGCCAGAGATGTGAAGCTAAGCTTAGGTGAACACAAGCACATACAATAAATAAATGAAAACACCCGCAGGCGTTCCTGCATATGTAATGAATCTGTTCACTTGCTGTTAGCGCAAAGCAAACACCGTCATCTACGTGAAATTCATAAAGCAGCTCGGCAAGGATCAGTGTCGGGTAAAACGGAACGAGACGTGAGGTGTCGTCACATGATATAACAGCTCACATATTTATAGTAAGTCACAAGAATGGTGGTGCAAACACACAAACTCAATTGCAATCTTTGAATCTACTGATTCAGGACTGCAGGAGACTGGGAAGGAGAGCATCCAGAATAATCCATGTAATCTGACTCACTATACAACAAACACTCATCAGTTGTGCCGACTTAAAATACTGCAGCTAATAATACTGCGTTCAATGGCGTCTACCCACCTTAGTGAAACTGCACGGGTAATCTGAACCCAGACTGCTAGATGTAAAGGACAGGCCTCGTATTTGTTTTCTGCATATGTTTGACAAGAACCGCCCACTTAGACGGGATGAGACTGCTTGATTGACAAGCGAAGCGACCAATCAGTTTGCCGTATTTGTGAGAGACATTTAGGGCAGGAAAATCTGAGGTATCTCAATTGTTGTTTAAACGATAAGCGATTTGACATTATCGAGTATATCGCAAAAAACAAACAAAAACACGCTCAGAGACTGTCTGCATGCATACACAATGAGATGAAGATTAGACGACTGCATGAGCACATTTAGAGTTCACGCTTTCACTGCGTGATTCAGTCTATTCAAATATATTTAGCCTAGATATAGTTAATCTGATATATACTTAATATCACATAAAGAGCAGAGTTTTTTCTCCAAATATCAGCAAATATCCAAAGACCATAGAACTGCAGCACAAGCCTGTCAATTTTCCATCCGTTTCACAGCCGCAAATATTTAGATCACCTCTCAAAAGAATAAAACAAAGGTATGTGAACAAAATGCAAGTTTTGGCCATTTGCAATCCATATTAAGCACGCGCGGCAATATTTCAATCATTAAACAATGCGACAAATCATTGTACAAACACTTAAAGTGCCTTAACATATTTAAAACAGTAATATTAAAAGATCAAATTCAGTAATCACTATATTAATGATGCGTAGTTTACATAGGCAAGCAGATGAGGCCGGAATATGAATGCAATCCACTTAATGGTTCAGTGTTTTCCTTATAATGGTTTTCTATGGGAACCCATTTAATGTGAAACTTTGCACATTGTGTTTATATTCTGGGTTCAGTCTTGCCTGTACAAAATATACACATCGTCAATAAGGTGTTTACTGAATTTCGCCATTTAATATCTGCGTTTTACTACAATTACTACTTAATGCAATCTGCGTAAAAATAACTGGCGGTCAGTGGAGCAAAGCTTTGTTTTGCCCTCCAGGTGGGCGTTCCTATATAAGCGTGTGACGTCACGTGAAAACTATCAATTGCAAATGTGATAGACTTTATAAAATAGTCTAATAAACAGGTTAATATTACATTGACTTACATTTTATACACAATGGTTCCTGTTTTTGCTTTATTTCGTCAACAAAAATAGTTACAAAAAGCCACAGCAGGACTGTTTTGCGTTGCTGTTTAATTACTGAATTAGTTAAGAGTGTAAACGAATCGGTTGAATGAATGATTCAATGACTCACTCATGCAGTGATTTGCTGCCACCTACTGGCGATTTTAGGTTTATATTTAAAGTATACTTTCCTTTTTTTTCCCCAAAATCTTTTCAAAAATATATATTTTTTAATATCAAAACATTATTTATGCATTTGTAACTGCAGGTTAATTGCATTCATGTCCTGCATTAAACAGTCTGTGTAAATGCATCTAAATGCCACTTCAGATGCACACAAACAAATGTTGTTGATACTGATTTAATTTGGCGCTATAGTGTCTTACTATTTGAATTTATTGATTAAATTTAAGACTCTGACACAAGAGACAACCCATACATTTAATTAGGTTAGAAAAAATGGTCTTATAAAAGGTAAAAATGCCCATAAAATGTAAAAACCAATTTAAACTTATTGGAAAAGTTCATTTCTGCTACTCCCGCAAACTAACCACCGCACAGAATATGAAGAACATCAAAAGCTTTGGGAGTCAGCTGTCCACGGCAGTCCTAAACCTGCCAAAATAACACGCTCAGCAAAATATCATTAAAATAGGTATCATATATCGCACACCCCTATTGCTAACCTCTTCGAAATCGCCTACCCTATCTTTAATAAATGCAATCCTAAACCTAACCGAAGTAATGCCATTTATATGGCACTTCTTCAGCAGGTTTGGATGCACTGGTGCAAATGCATCCAAAGGCCTTCACCACACAGTATGTGTTGTTCTGCAGCAGGGGGATGGGATGGACTAGAGCCGCGCTGGCAGAAAGCCTCTCTAGCATTTACTGAGCTCCTCATATTCCTATTGTCTCTTCACGGGAACGACTGGACGGATGAGAGGCGAGTCCGGTCGCTTTCCCACCTGTGCTCGACAGATCCAGATCTGGTTTCTGAGAACTTACCATCAGTACGGCATGCTAAATGTGACCTAAGATGGGCAAAATCCTTCTTACTGTACATTGTGCATGCCTAAACGTGGCATTAAATAAACATGAGAATAGCGGGCGTGTCTAATAGGTCAGATGTGGTGTAACAAACCAAATTACGGTTTACAAAAGAGAATTGGATTTCAAAGAGTGTACAGAACAATCATGTGCAATAATAACAACTTGCGTGCAGTGAAATAAAACTCACCAAATTTGACCTTTGAGTGTTTATGTGCCTGGATTATAGGCTAGATAAGAATGATTTGTGATTAATTAAGCTAGAAGTAACACCACCTTCTTAAAGCATAAGCATAAAACACAATGCAGTAAGAAAACATCATCCTTCATAAACCTCAATTGTGCCAATGAGTCGTGCAATCCTGAGTGAACCAGATGCAACATGACGCCGTTCACCCTATATTAACGTATTACTAGGGGTGTGCGATATATATCGTAATTGTGGTTTTAACGATGTGCGATTTGACATTATCGAGTATTTTGCAAAAACCATTCAAAACATCCCTACAGAGCGCACGCATGCATTACGTGAAGTCTAGACTAGTGCGCGTGCGCATTTAGAGTGTGTTCTTTCACTGCATGATTCAGGCTATTAAAATGCACTTAGAATGATCACAAATTCAAGACATGACGGCAGAAAATTTATATATTTATACCACCTCATATAGTTATTCAATTTCACACGAAGAGTGCCGTTGATTACAAATGTGACGTTGAATTCAATAAACAATAAGTTAATTAAGAGACGTACGTTTTAGACGCCATATTGCTTGTTTTTGCTCTATTTCGCCAACAAAAATCATCCCGAATACAGCCACAGCGCTGTTCTGCGTCTCTGAGCAACACGACGGTGTTTCGTTCCTGAATGAATCACTCGTTTAAATGATTCGGTTCGATCGCAATGACTCGCTTATTAACAGTGATTTGCTGCCACCTGCTGGCGGTTTTAATTTCCCATTTCGGCTTTTTCTTTCATGTTTTAAATAATTTCAAACATCAGTATTCAACGTTTTATGTTTAATATATCAAAACATTATTTATGCATTTGTAATTGCAGGTTAAATGCATTCATGTCTTGCATTAAACAGTGTGTAAACACATCTAAATGCAGCTTCAGATGCAGCTTCTGTGTTGATTTAATTTGCTCGGTAACAGCCCAAATGTCTTCTTATTCTAATTCCTGATTAAACGTAAGAATTTGACTCAAAAGATAATGGACACTTTTAGAAAAAATGGCTTTATAAAGTCATTTATTCGACGTATTAACCTGGCTAGCATGCGAGACTTGCGTTTCTTTCAGAAGAAAGCACAATGAGACGGAGGGTCACATTTGATTCGAATGAATCATGATGCACATTTCAAGATAACTCTTTGTTTTCAGAGGGAGACGGTGAGGATAGTTAGTTATTAAGCCGTCGTCTGATGCCCCACGCTTTGCCATCACAGAAAAGTGATGGAACTATGACCCATTTCAGACTTGAATCAGTTCTTTTGAAAAAAGAATCGTGAATCGGTTCTTTCGAACACTTTGCCCATTCAAATTAAATAACGAATCAATGGTTCTTTTTTTCGACAGAGCCGCTCCACACAAAGCACTGGTATATGAGCCGCAGATTCTGCTTCCAGTTGTCCACTTTGAACCCGTTCACATGGGAGCACCCTGCGGGACTCATGACACAAACCACATCCGAGGTCCTGTATTCCGGCGATGAAATAAGCTCAACTGAAGTCACGAGGAGAATTAACGTTATCCACCAATTGTTCCGTTTTGCCAGGCACAGCAAATGCGTGTCTTACACATGCGGAGAGCGTTTCTCGATACCCTCGCTGCATGAAAATGCCATCCCTGACGAGAATTAAGCACGCAAGCCTGAGGTAAAACTGAGCTCGCTTTGATATTGTATTTTCCAAGTCTGCTGTTTTAATGGACGGCGATGGAATTCAACGGAGCACCGTGGGCGGGCGAGGTTAAACGCTGATTGGCGGATGGCTTGCGGTCCGTGGCTGCGATTGGCTAGCGCCCGTGCCATTTCCGTTAAACTCCCGCCCGCTTTCGAGAACTCTCAAATGCGATTGGCTGGCGCGGCCGCTTGTCTTTTTTCAAAGACTGGGAGCGCCTGTGATTGGCTGCGTCGCGCCTCGCGTCGGCCGTTCTTTTCTTGTTGGTTATGTCATTCAAGTAGAAAACACACGGTCCACATGTCTACCTGCGTTCAAGTAAATATTAATGCAAACGGAAGCCGAATATTTAATAAGGACTGGTTGGATAGACAGCTGGAAACTAGACATCACCAATGCTGTTAAAAACTGTGTTGTTGTACATATGAGTGACACTTTTGTCATGCACATATGTTTTGCTTAAATAAAAACAAGCCTGTTTGCAGCTAAACTGAAATTTAATAACACAAACTTCAATTTTATTATCAAATTTAGACACGAGAATATAAAGCATACCTCTCAAAAAAATTCAGATCTTTAATGAATTGCTTATAATTAATATTACAGTAGTTATATGAAATGTAACGGTGTCTAATAGTGACACAGGGATGCAAGAATAATGTCTCAACATTCCAATAATTAATTGTTTATAAGATGTATTACACAAAATAGATGCATTGAAATGTAACACAAATCTCAATTGTATGCTCTAACGCGTTAGTGACTATACAATATATTATAAAATCAAGAAACACATCGATATCATCAATAAATTGCTTGTAAACAATAATACAAGAAAATGAAGCCTCAGTAAAATTTAAATTTAACAAGACTTTATGATGTGATGTGGCAGAGACAACAAGAAACACCCCAAAATAATAATTAAACAAATTGTTTATAAATTATATTACATGTAAGTTCAATAAAATTGACCAAGACGACCCTCACTTTTATGATCTTATGTGGAATATAAGACTTTCCTCTCTGATAGCTTTAATAACTTGTTTATAAATAATATTGTAAGGAACGAACCCTATTAAACGAGACAAACATCAGTTTTATGATATATTTTGGCAGCGACACGAGACTTTCCTCTCACGAACAACACGGGATCATTGCAAATTAAATGTTTAGAAATATAACAAGATTCATGTAATTGAGTAATCAGCAGTGTTGGGGAAAGTTACTTTTAAAAGTAATGTGTTACAATGTTGCGTCGCTCCATAAAAAAGTAACTAATTTCGTTACTTAGTTACTTTTTGTGGAAAGTAGTGCGTTACGTTACTTTTGCGTTACTTTTTAAATCTGGACAGGGCTTGCTTGTTTGTTTTTAAAATAAAAAAGTTATATTTTTGGCAAATATAAAAGCCTTTCACACCAAAAGTGAAGTGAATGCGCCTCAGGCTGAAGGGAAAGTACAGTAGAATACAGAAGAAGACATTTCAACACTTCAGCAATAAACAAAGACACACAGATGTTCGTCTAGAGTAATTTGTGCTGATTAGTACGCTTGAACTGCATCATCGAAGCTCAGAAGTTAATAGAATGGGATTAAATACATAAAGCATATTTGTGTTGTTTAACATTTAATTATTGCAGGTTTGCGTCATATTCTAAGTTGCATTATTTTTTAGAACTACAGTAACATCTAATTTCTGTCACCATGGCAACACCAGAACTGTCAATCAATAAATTGGAAACAAAAAGTAACTTGCGTTACTTATTTGAAAAAGCAACTCAGATATTCTCTTGTAAATTAAAAATGCATTACTTTACTAGTTACTTGAAAAAAAGTAATCTGATTACTTGTAACTCGCGTTACTTGTAACGCCCAACACTGGTAATGACACCCCAAAATCAAAAATAAATTGCTTTTAAATATTACAAGGCAATATTCCCATAATTAAAACAAATTTTAAACCCCGTTTTGGTGACATCCAGGCACCAGTAGCAGTAGTTTCTAGGGATTTGATGAGTTATCTATTTACGGTAAAGCCCAAAACATGAGAAACCTCTAGAGAGGCTTCTGCTGAATCACCGCAGGAACGTTCGGCTCCGGGCTGAAGAAAACATTCGATCAACCGACGCATTATTGGGTTAGCTTGAGACCGTCTTTGGGTGAAAGAGCATGAAATTAGAGAAGCTGTCAGTCTTTGAGCCGTGGAAAGATCACATGAATGTCAATGCACTAAACGGAGAAGATGCATTTTAGAGATGAGAACACACGGTATAATATTCCACTGTCTGCACGGGTTGTTTAAATGATGGTTTCTTTATTTCATTCTGTGGGGTTGCAATAAAGACAATGTAAAGTATACAAATGCAATTTCCACAACTGTTTTGAACAAAGACGTCCAGTATCTTTATTTGTATGACCATAAATGATGCAACCAAGCATTGATAAATAAACACTGACAAAAACAAGTTGTTGATTACGGTGCGCTGTGACAGAACCAGAAAAAAAAGATCATTCCACACATTTATGTTTTCCTCCGATATAGTCCAACTGATTTTGCTCTTTAATGAAGGTCTTCCAGCTTTGGGGTGAGGAAGGGGACGTGAGCAAAGCAGCGATCCGCCCAACGGTCTCAAGAGTAGCTTGACGTCTTGCTGCCGACGTCATCCTCTTGCATTCCCATACTCTGAAACACAGAACACAGCTTATAAAAGCTCGTCCTTTAGAAGCCTGTAATTGGATTGATGATTCATGAGCTTGTTCAGACTAGTACCTTTTGCACAAACTGGGGGTTTACAGTGATCTCTTGATCCATGGACTTCAGTTTTTCATCTACCTCTATACATTTCAGCATCTGCATCAGGACAGATATCAGTGAGATAACACTACAAAACGACCATCATTAATGCAGTGGTGCATAAACATTATACTGCATTTCAAGTGCACAATCTGAAATATTTTCCATTTCTCAAACTCCTAATACCTGCAGCGTATTATGAGAGTTAAATTGCATTTTGAACACCACAGCTTTAAAGGGGTCATATGATGCGATTTCAAGTTCTTCTTTCTCTTTGGAGTGTTACAAGCTGATTGTGCATAGATAAGATCCCTGAAGTTGCAAAGACTAAAGTCTCAAAACCAAAGAGACGGGGCATAGAGGACCTACAATAATGTACAGTATTTGAAAAATAATGTATTGTATCAACATATTCTGTTACACCAAATACACAAAATAATGATCTTTAAAAAAGCATCATATGACCCTTTTAATGATTCATTTAGAATATATATAGAATATTAAATAAATGTTAAGTTGTAATAACATTTCACAACATCTGTTTTACTGTATTTGTAATATATTCATATTATTTTATTGCTGTAACAAATAAAACAAAAAATAGGAATTAATAGTTATTTTAAACGGTCATTTTTCACAATATTACTGTATTTATATTATTGTTATATTATAATAAATAAAAAAACAATCATTTAAAAATTTAATAATCTGACACAATATAACTGTATTTACAATAATATATTTACTTCATTATATTACAATAAAGCAAATAGAAAATAAAGTTATTTAAAATTTTAATTCACAATATTACTTTTTTACTGTATTTATAATATTATTTTATTATATTATAATAGGAATTAATAGTTGTTAAATTGTAATTTTTCACAATATTACTGTATTTATATTATTGTTATATTATAATAAATAAAAAACGATCATTTAAAATTTTTATAATCTGACAATATTACTGTTTTACAATATTACAATATATTTACTGTATTTATAATATTTTATTATATGATAAACAACATTTTATTATCTTTGTGTTTATTAACTTTTTATGATCTTCTGACTATTATTTGTTGACTATTATATAATATATTGAGTTTTCTATGTATGTTATTAATATTTCTCTCAAATGTCCTTGAAATATTAATGATTAAGAAGATTACAAATAATGGGGCTGTAAATATGTCATGCATGTTGCTCTCTGGTGTTTAACGTGAGGCGTCATGGTCTCGTTCTCTTGTACACTAGCACTGAGTGAAGAAAAGCACTGTTTTATCATTACAAACCTCTTGGTCGATTTTGTGGAGCATCGCAGGGTTGTTGTATTTCTCAGGGTTGTCATGGAAACAGACCATGCCATCTTTCTGGTTAATACTTGCATAAATCTCTCCATCCTCGATCTGAGAGATGAGAGAGGAAAGATTTGAGCACCAACAAACCTCAAATGTTGAATATGTGACCCTGGAGCACAAAACCAGGCATATCCAGGTAAAATTTCCGAAATTGAGATTAATACATCATCTGAAAGCTGAATAATAAGCTTTCCATTGATGTATGGTTTGTTAGGATCGGACAATATTCGGCTGAGATACAGCTATTTGAAAATCTGGAATCTGAGGGTGCAAAAAAATCTAAATATTGAGAAAATCATCTTTAAAGTTGTTCAAATGAAGTTCTTAGCAATGCATATTACTAATCAAACATTAAGTTTTGATATATTTACGGTAGGGAATTTACAAAATATCTTCATGGAACATGATCTTTACTTAATATCCTAATGATTTTTGGCATAAAAGAGAAATCTATAATTGTGACCCATACAATGTATTGTTGGCTATTGCTACAAATATCCCCCAGCGACTTAACACTGCTTTTGTGCTGCAGGCTCACATATAAAACGTCCAGGGATTGGGATGTAAAACACATCTATATGTCATGATGAGGCTGAGTTCATACCATATGTAGGACGTATTTCTCAGCTTCTTGAGGGCCGGAGAGCTGAACTCGACACGCCATGTCTTGTAAGGATAATGTCAAGAACGTCTGTCAATCACAAGAACAGAGATTACCGTTTCTGTTTGGTCAAACCAAAAAAAATAATAATTAGGGCTGTCGATTTAACGTGTTAATTGTGCGATTTATTATGAAACAAAATTAAAAGTTTCAAATGAATGCATCTAACCACATCTGATGAACATGACTGCGTGATGAAGCCTATCAGAATGCAGTTTTATGAGCCTAAAATTCAAGATA